CTCATTAGTGTTCAAGGCCTCAAACCTGTTCCTGAGATGATTCTGAAACTCAGGTGGTATGAAATTAAAGTCATATTTTGGCTCCTGTGGATTCGGTTTAATTTTCCTCAGCTTCAGCTTGAACTTGCATATGAGTAGTTGGTGGTCTGTTCCACAATCAGCTCCTGGCCTAGCGTCTGCTAATTCAAGCTGCCCTGAAGGAATTGGAAAAAACAAAGCCCCGGGAATTGACAGCATACCAACTGACATATTTCAACAAACAGATGCTTCCCTGGGCACACTCAGCAAGTTTTGCCAATAAATCTTGAGGATAAGCACTTGACCAGCTTACTGGAAGAAATCCATGTTTGTTCCCATTTCAAAGAGTGATGACCTGACAGAGTTTGACAATAATCTAACAATATCAATACTATCACATGCAGGCAAGATTCTGCTGAAAATTGCCCAAAAATAGCACATCGACAGAGAACTGCCAGATGTACAGACTGGGTTTCCAAGAAGCCATGGTACTAGGGCTCTTAGAGTTAATGTTAGATAGATCTTGGCTGAAAGCAGAGAGTAGCAGAGGAATGTCTCTTTGTGTTTCATTGACCATGCAAAGACATTTGACTGTGTGGATCACAACAATCTGGCTAAGTCTCAGAAGAATGGAAATCCCAGAATGCTTAGTTGTACTTTTGCAAAACCTATACTTGGACCAGGAGGCAGTCGTCAGAACAGAGCAGGGAAACACTACATAGTTCAAAATTGGGAAGGGCGTATGCCAGGGATGTGTCCTATTTCCATATCTTTTCAGTCTCTTTGTGCAACAGTTTATCTGGGAGGCTAGGCTTTATAAGGAGGAATGTGGCATCAAAATTGGAGGAAGACTCATCAACAATCTGCGCTATGCAGACGACACAACCTTGCTTGCTGAAAATGAGCAGGACCTGAAGAACTTGCTGCAAAAAGTCAAGGACTGCAGCCTTTAATATGAATTGAAGCTTAACATCAAGAAAGTAAAAATTCTCACCACTGGGCCAATTGGCAGCATCAAAACAGATGGTGAAGAGATTGAGATTGTTAACAGCTTCAGGTTGCTTGGCTCCATAATCAACACTCTTGGTACTAACAGACAGGAAATCAAAACATAAATTTCACTGGGAAAGTCTGCTGTCAGTGACCGTTCCAAAATACTGAAGAGCAACAATGTCAGTCTGGAGACTAAGGTGTGCCTGATCCAGGCCATGGCCTTTGTGATTACTTGCTATGCATCAGAAAGCTGGACAATGACTAGGAGTGATAAAAGAATTGATGTCCGGTGAGCCATGAGGCCGCCACGCGGCAGAGGCTGCCAGCCGGCCACTCCGGGGCCAGGGCCGCGGGCCGCATCGGCCCACCGGGGTGAGCGCACCTGGGCCATTGAGCACCAGGCGCCTTGCGACCACGAATCGAAGCCTCTTAAAATGGCAGATGATTTGGACTTCGAGACAGGAGATGCAGGGGCCTCTGCCACCTTCCCAACGCAGTGCTCAGCATTACGTAAGAATGGCTTTGTGGTGCTCAAAGGCCGACCATGTAAGATCGTCGAGATGTCTACTTCCAAGCCTGGCAAGCATGGCCATGCCAAGGTCCACCTGGTTGGTATTGACATCGTTACTGGGAAGAAATATGAAGATATCTGCCCCTCCACTCATAATATGGATGTCCCCAACATCAAAAGGAATGACTTCCAGCTGATTGGCATTCAGGATGGGTACCTATCACTGCTCCAAGACAGTGGGGAGGTTCGAGAGGACCTTCGTCTGCCTGAGGGAG